TTAGAAATAATAAAAATTCAGAAATAAAAATATATAATATTGAAACAAGAGCATAGAGTTTATATAGAAATACAATTTACAGAAAATTAACTAAAATTTGATATTAAAAATAATTAATAACTAACACGTATATAAAATACAATATGAATATTACACATTAGTATTTTTGTAAAGTTATTGCAAAATTTAGAATTATGTTGTCATTTTAATATATTTGAATAATATAATGAGAAAACATATATGCTATTATATGAGATAAAATAATACAATTAGGAAATAATAGAAATTCGGAATTAAAAATAAGGAATATTAGAAGTAGAGTATAGAGTCCATATAGAAATACAATTAAGAAAAAAATAGAACTTCCGAATTAAAAAATAAGAAATATTAGAAGCATAGTATATAGTCCATATAGGAATTTAAAACAAACTAAAATTTGGAATAGAAAAAGAAGCCTCCACGTTCGCTCTCATGGCCTAGAAAATTCTCACATTAATCGGAGAAAAAGAAAAAGAAGAGTCCATATAGAAATATAATTAGGAAATAGCTGAAATTCGGAATTAAAAATAAGGAATATTAGAAGAGGAGACTAGAGTCCATATAGAAATACAATTAGGAAATAGCTGAAATTCGGAATTAAAAAATAAGGAATATTAGAAGAGGTGACTAGAGTCCATATAGAAATACAATTAGGAAATAGCTGAAATTCGGAATTAAAAAATAAGGAATATTAGAAGAGGAGACTAGAGTCCATATAGAAATACAATTAGGAAATAACTTAAATTCGGAATTAAAAATAAGGAATAATAGAAGTAGAGTACATAGTACATATATAAATACAATTAGGAAATAACTGAAATTCGGAATTAAAAATAAGGAATATTAGAAGTAGAGTATAGAGTCCATATAGAAACACAATTAGGAAATAATAGAAAATTGGAATTAAAAAGGGTGAATAGCTAATATGGTCACTGAAGTTTCGCTTCAGGCTCAGTTTAGTCAGGTTTCAAATCGTCCAGACATGTCCTCTAAATTAATTATTTGGGTTAATATAGTCCTTATAAAAAAATGGTACGTGAGTATGCCAAGTCATCCTCGCATGCAGCGATATGAATAAAATGACTATTCTACCCTTATATACTATATAGAAAAGAAATAAAAGACACAAAAAAAAACAAGCTAACCTAGGCCCAACATTGTTGCGGAGGGTGGCTGACAAAGGAATTTATACGATTAGGCTACAGCAATCGTAAGTGACAATTCTAAAATGTCCATACATGTGTGAAATATTTGTTTTCTTTTTTATATGGTATATAAGGGTAGAATGGTCATTTCATTCATACCGCTGTATGCGAGGATGACTTGACATGCTCACGTGGCACTTTTTGTGGGTCCAAGGACTATATTAACCCAAATAATTAATTTAGAGGACTTGTTTGGATATTTAAAACATCAAGGACTAAACTGAGCCGAAGTGAAACTTCAGGGAGCATATTAGCTATTCACCCAATTTAAAATAAGGAATATTAGAAGTAGAGTATAGTATCCATATAGAAATACAATTAAGAAAAAAATAGAAATTCGGAATTAAAAAATAAGGAATATTAGAAGTAGAGTATAGAGTCCATATAGGAATTTAAAACTAACTAAAATTTGGAATAAACATAATAAAATTAAAAGTAGAGTTTAGAGTCTGTATAAAAATACAATTTACAAATAACTAAAATTCGAAATTAAGAATAACATGGGAAGAAGAGTTTAAGGTCAATATAGGAATACAAATATAGAAATACAATTTAGAAGTAACTGAAATTCGAAATTAAAAATTAAAGAATATTGAAAGATAAGTTTAGAGTCCACATATAAAAGCAATTAGAAATAACAAAATAATATTGAAAGAAGAGCAAACAGTCTATATAGAAATACAATTTACAGAAAATTCAGAATTAAAAAAAAGAAATATTAAAAGACGAGTCTAGAGTACATATAGGAATATATATAACTTACAAATAACTAAAATTTGACATTAAAAATAATTAATAACTAACACGTATATAAAATATAATATGAAAAATTCAGAAATAAAAATAAATAATATTGGAAGAAGAGCATACCGTCTATATAGAAATACAATTTACAGAAAATTCGGAATTAAAAAAATATTAAAAGACAAGTCTAGAGTACATATAGGAATATATATAATTTACAAATAACTAAAATTTGATATTAAAATAATTAATAACTAACACATATATAAAATATAATATGAATATTACACATTAGTAGTTTTGTAAAGTTACTGTAAAATTTAAAATTATGTTGTCATTTTAATATATTTGAATAATACGATGAGAAAACATATATGCTATTATATGATAGAAAATATAATGATGCTAGCCGCGCAATCTGCGCAGGCCACCATGCTACTTATATTATTAAAACAGCTTTGAAAGGAGGCACCACGTTTGCTGTGGGGGCTAGAAATTCTCACATTAATCGGAAAAAAAGAAAAAAAAGAAAAGGAGAGTCCAAGTGGAAATACAATCTGAAAATAGCTAAAATTCAGAATTTAAAATAAGCTATATGAAAAAAGTTTCCATATAAGAACCCAATACGAGATTAATCAAAATTTGAAATAAAAATAAAATAAAATCCAAAGTTAGAAAAAAAAAGAAGAGTCCAAGTAGAAATACAAAAATAGCTGAAATTCAGAATTAAAAATAAGCAATATTGAAAGAAAAAATCGAAAAGGAGAGTCCATGTAGAAATACAATCTAAAAATAGCTAAAATTTGGAATTAAAAATAAGCTATATTGAAAAAGGTTTCCATATAAGAACCTACAAGATTAATCAAAATTCAAAATAAAATCCAAAATTAGAAAAAAAAAAAGAAGACTCTAAGTAGAAATACAAAAAATAGCTGAAATTCGGAATTAAAAATAAGCAATATTGAAAGAAGTTTCCATATAAGAACCCAATACGAGATTAATCAAAATTCAAAACAAAAATCAAATAAAATCCAAAATTAGAAAAGAAAAGGATAGTCCAAGTAGGAATACAATTATAAAATAGCTGAAATTCGGAATTAAAAATAAGGAATATTAAAAGAAGAGTCCATATAAGAACCTAATACGACATTAATTAAAATAGGGAATAAAAATAAAAATAAAATCCAAAATTAGCAAAAAAAAATAAAAGGAGAGTTCAAGTAGGAATACAATATAAATTTAGCTGAAATTCGGAATTAAAAATAAGCAATATTTAAAGAAGAATTCATATAAGAACCCAATATGAGATTAATTAAAATTCAGAATAAAAAATAAAATAATATCCAAAATTATAAAAATTAAAAGTGAGTTCGAGTAGGAATACAATTTTGAAACAACTGAAATTGAAAATAAAAAATAAAAATATTAAAAGAACAATAGGATATTAATTAAAATTTGAAAAAAAAACTGAAATTAGAAAAAGAAAAATAAGATTTCATTTAGGAATACAATTTATAAATAATTAAAATTTGTGATAAAAAAAAGACTATGGAAAAAAAAGACCATAAACATATGATGAGATAAATTAAGTAACAAGCCTATAAATGAGTAGAGTGGTGGCGGTTGATACGACATATAAAAACTATTAATAAAACACCAAATAGAATCCTAATGACGATTAAAAGGATGGACGACAGGCAGACCGTGAAGCAAATGAGGTGATTGCCGGGACATCTAGAAAGTAAAAAAAACCATTGATAATCATATTCGATTAAAATCTCAATGACAATAAAAAAGAGAAGCAGCGGGCAGGGTGTATAGGCGTATAGTTGCAGAGCCACCAACGGTTGACGGGACTTTTAGAAAATAAAAAATGAATTCCGATGATATTTATGTTCGATTTTTAGAATCACAATGACAATAAAGAGTAGGCGGCGGACGGGCCATAAAGGAACATAGTAGAATCGTTTGACGAGACTTCTAAAAATTATAAAAAATGAAACCCAACAAGACAACAAACTCTAAAAACTACAAGGTTCAATTTTTAAAGGTTTGGAACTTCTAAAAAGTAAAAAAAAGAACGATAATCATGTTCGATTTTAAAATCTCAATGACAATAAAGAAGGGAGGCAGCAGGCGAGCCGTAGAGAAGTACAATGGCAAATTAAGCCACTAACGGTTTGGCGGGACTTCTAGAAAGTAAAAATGAACACGATAATTATGTTCGATTTTTAAAATCTCAATGACAATAAAGAGAAGAGACAATGGACGGGCTATAGAGGAGTATAATGGCAACGTTTGACGGGACGTCTAGAAATTATAAAAACGAAACCCAACGTGACAATAAACTCTAAAAACTATAATATCCAATTTTTAAAGGTTACAAGGCGAATGAATAGAAATAGTGGTAGATCGAGCAAGCAAATAAAGAAGGAGATGACATAAGGGATAGTAACTGGTGTGACTTTTAAAAAACACTCCCTCCGTTTTTTAATAGATGACGATGTTAACTTTTTCTCACATGTTTGACCATTCATCTTATTCAAATATTTTATGCAAATGTATAAGATATAAATCACACTTAAAGTACTATGAGTGATAAAACAACTCATAACAAAATAAATTATAATTACGTAATTTTTTTGAATAAGACGAATGGTCAAACATATGAGAAAAAGTCAACGGCGTCATCTATTAAAAAACGGAGGGAGTATAAAATTAGAAACACGGGGATAATAAGGTTTGGTCTTTTAAACTCTTAAGACAATGAGATACTTAATAAATTTTAAGTAAAATCATACTTAAAAAAATATATGATTTTGTTTAGGTGCTAGCCGCGCAAATTGCGCGGCCCATCCAACTTGCTAACCTTCGTTGGATTAGCATCCTATACGTGGCTGCCCTGCCCACGTTAGCATGGAGTGGGTCCCACGTCAAGCTGGCCCCCAGGAAAAGCGTTCATGGAAAGAGTAAAATATTTCGAACCCCTACTCTTTGGTGGGCCCTGGCCCATCACAGGCGCGAGGAGAAGCGAAAGCCCCGCACGCTGTGATCAATGAACCGATAAACCATAAGCTTTAGCTTTGCCCATCAACTTCTCATCCAAGCCAACTCTCCCCTCCTCTCCTAGGTTTCGCCTCCGCCGCCGCCGACCGCCGCCGCCGTCGCCGCCGTAGACCGATCGAGCGGGAGTGGGGAGGATGACGACGTCGGAGAGGGAGCCGTGCCCGGACCGCATCCTGGACGACGTGGGCGGCGCGTTCGCGATGGGGGCGGTGGGGGGCACCGCCTTCCACTTCCTCAGGGGCGCGTACAACTCCCCCAACGGCCACCGCCTCTCCGGCGGCTCCCAGGCCGTCCGCATGAGCGTCCCGCGCACCGGCGGCAACTTCGCCGCCTGGGGCGGCCTCTTCTCCGCCTTCGACTGCGCCATGGTCCACGCCCGCCAGAAGGAGGACCCCTGGAACTCCATCCTCGCCGGCGCCGCCACCGGCGCCGTCCTCTCCCTGCGCCAGGGCCCGCGCGCCACCGCGACGTCCGCCCTCGTCGGCGCCTCCCTCCTCGCGCTCGTCGAGGGCGCCGGCATCTTGCTCACCCGCACCATGGCCACCCTTCCCCAGGAGGACCACGCCTACCCGTTCCCGGTGGTGCCGCCGCCTGAGGAGGTCTCGGCCCATGAATCGAGCCCTATCGCATGGGTTAGGGGAATTTTCGGGAGGAAGGAGGAGAAGCCTGCTGCTGCTGGTGGTGACCGCAAGTCGGACGTGTTGGAGTCCTTCGAGACGCCCAGCCCTCCAATTCCATCCTTCGACTACAGGTGAAAAGGGTATTCTTTTTCTTTTCTTAATCTCATTACTTCAAGTTTGGCTTGAGACATTGCGCTCTTCATTGTAGATTTAATTCGATTTTGTGGATTGACAAATGCGCTATCGTTATGCTGAAACGAAGGTGGTAAATGTATGCCTCTGATAGATTTATTTAGTTTTGAATTGATCAATAGTGTGATAGGTGAAGTAGGCTTGCTGTATGCTCACAATTCTGACTCTTGAACATTGAGTCTAACTTAAAGTGTCTCATCTATACCTTTTCCTTCGCAATAATTTGAAATTTTGGAAACATGGATGCCTATTGTTCAAAATTTTATTATTTTTTCTGAATCTTCCATTGCTTTTTGGTCGGTATTATAGAAATAAGAAACATTTGAGGGCACACATGGCCGTAATGGGTAAAACCCAGCTCCTGGTCTATAGGTGTCACATGCACAGTAGTAGGTTTGCTGTTCACTAGTCCTTATTTTCAACATTGAGTCTTACATAGTATGGTTGGTTCCAAACTTCCAATGGTGATATCAAATAAGGAAGTTTAAATCTAGCTCATATGTTGTACTGAATAATGTGGAACCATATTATGTGATTTATGCAGCAATTGCTTGGGTTCAGTACCACATTACCACTTACCAAGGTCCTTCACATCTTATATATTGGTGTACACACCTTGTTGGAATGTTGGCCCCTAAGGCTGCGTCAATAATTGTGTTGCATGGTAGCAATAACTTTTTTTTATCCATTTAGTGTTTTGGGTCTCTCTCCCTGTCTTAATTTTTGTTTTGACTCTGCACACATGTATGCTCTGCAGGGGTGTGACCCTGCAATTTTAATATTATTGCACTTCATTCTACATAATGTTATTTCATGAATTCTGTTATCTGGTCATCACTGTTTATATCTTGCTGCTCAAGAACCGCTGATGCTAGCCAACAGCTCTGGTTTTCCCATTGGTACATTTGTAACTGAGTACAAGCAATTTATTCCTAGTTCCTGATTCCTAGGATTATTTCAGGAACTTTGAAATTTCACCCAGACAGCTAACTGTATGTTAGAAAGGAGGCTGGTGAATTAAACACAACACAACAAGTGGCAATATATGGAATCTAATATCTTTGACATGCCCAGAAATTGTTGCCACTCACCATCAGTCATGTTCAAGTAGAGGTGTAAACATGGTTCAGTTCCATATGGAGTACACCTATTTTCCCCTTTGTTACGGGTTCCTTTCTTCCTTTATGCCTAAATGTTTTAGAGGATTTTACCAAGTTTTCAGCTTTCAAACCTTAAAGAGTTTTGTTTCAGTGTGGATGCTGCCTACATTTATTTGCGCTTGCATACATGATGCAACCTTTTCTCCCTTCCTATGTTCCCCTTTTTTAGGAGTTCCTTTATTCCTTGATGCCTAACTGTTTAGAGGATTTTACTGAGTTAACCTTTAGAGTTTCGTTTCAATGTGGAGGTTGGCTGCGTATATGATGCACTCTTGTTCTCCCCCGTTCATTTACGGAAGGTTTTTAGTCATTTCTTTATGCAAAGCTAATGGAATCATTCAAAACTAGAAGAATTAAGATTTATCTGAAAATATGGAATTCACCTTGTGCGCTGGGGGTGGACAAATGTTGCGCAAAGGTAGTCATGATCAACCAGAGGGCGAGGTCAAATCCCTCGCCTCCCAGAGCCAGTACTCAAAGCCGGATGTCCTTTATTGAATAGAAGCCATCCTTGTAAAAGAGGCTGGTTTGCTACTCTTAATAAAGCTCCCATCCCAATAATCCTCAACAAGAAATAAGCAAATATAAACCGAATTTGATAAGCAACCTGATCCATAACGGTTCCTGTAGTGCGTCGTCCTGCATGCTGCAAATGGTGCAGGTTACTCTTGAACAAAGTCAATAGCTTCCAGTTTATTGGTATCCTGTTGTCAAGCATATCCCAAAATGTTTTTTCCACAATCAAGATTCTTGAACTAGTTCCTAGTTCTATTTTTCATACTACTAGTTTGGATTTAGAGAAAATCCCTTATATACCCTTAAAATTTTACCTAATTAATCCCTTCTATACCCTTGTATTTTGCTTACTTCCTTGTGTACCCCCAAAATTTGACCCCTCCCGTCAGTTGACTGTTAGTTGACCGTGTATTTTCTATAAAAATGACCATTTTACCCTTGGATGAACAAAGAAATTCATGAATTACATTATTAAAAATATAAAAGCTTCTCGCATGAGACTATTATAGTTATGAGTTTGTTGTGCGATGTATTATTTATCCCAAAAGATATTTTTAGATAATGAAATAAAAAATACGTATTTATTTTTTTAAAAGAAGTCATAAAAATGAGGAGCATTCATATAAAGATAGGACTACCCATGTTCACAACATTTTTTTTTATGAATGCTCCCGATAAAAAAATCCATTGTCCTATTAAAATTTCAAATAAAAAATTTAATTTATTACATTTATTTTATTTTCAAAATTTATGTCAAAATTTTCTGCACTAATTATTTAGTCTCATTAGTTTTATAAAATACACATACTGTGCACTCAAATAAAATTTTCAATTGTTTTTGAAGCTTATATTTAAACCTAAAGCATCAGGGGTAAAAATGACATTTGCAACCAAACGTAACAATGAAATGATGGAAAATATAACAGGGGGGGCATACAAGAAATCAAATTGAAATTGAAATTTCACAATGAAATGATGGAAAATGTAACAGTGGGGGCATACAAGGAATCAAATTGAAATTGAAATTTCAGGGGTACAGAAGGATCGGGTAAATTTTAGGGGTATGAAAGGGATTGGGTATGAAAGGGATTGAGTGAGTTTTCAGGGGTACACAGGGAATTTACTCTTGGATTTACTACCTTCAGTTGTAATGGCAATTGATACTTAACAGTTGATATTTAAGAATTGTACAGCTATGTTTTGGCGGTTGGTGTCTCCTGTCCCAAACTAGCCAGTTTGGAAGTTTTCACTGACATATAGGCTACAAATGTTGTTCTGCTTATACTTACTCTATTTTCAAACAATATCTTTTTTAGAGTTCCAACATCTGAACCCTCGAGTATTACTAGTAACGTTAACAAATTTCGAAGGAAATTTAAGACTCCATAATCTTAGCACCTGCTAAATACATGGTGCTTCCATGCCAGGAAAAGTGATATTCCAATTCACCAACAAATATATGTTTCATGTTTGTGATGTTTGTCTGAAGTTATCTATTTGGCATAGTAAATTATTTGGTCTATTCCTGAGATTCCATCTGTTCCTTTTTTAACCTAATATCCATCAAGCTTATGAGTTATGTTTTTCTGTTGTACAGGGACATCTGATCTTCAAGTTTGGATCTGAAGTTTCTAATGAATCGTACGAAGGAAGAGAGGACCATTTTGTTAGATAAACATCAAACTTAGTTCAGGATCATAGAATCACGTAACATATTTTGACCACTTACCGTCTCATTACGTTTAAGTTATTTCCTAACGCTGTTAGCTTTTATTTATTATATGGTATATGCTCTACTGAAAGTGAAGTTAGTCCAGATATCTCCATTCTATTACGTAGGTGAAGAGGCTCAAATTTTTTAAATGTGGAATTAACAACAGTATGCCTTCTTAATATGTACTTTGGGATCTCTTTACTTTGTTTTGTTGTCTTTATTTCTATATTTCAGCCATGCCAAGCGTACCACGAAACTGATGAGGTGCAGATATTATGCAACTTGCAATACAGATGAGCTACATATATGAATTGGACGCAACTTAGGATCGGGCGCCCACGTCATGTTGACGTTAGTATGATGCATGCGTGCAAAACCACTTTAAACTATTTTTTCTCTTAAATTATTTATTATGCAAATCATGATCTGATTACACCATTAATTTGTTGTTAAATCTTTAAAACAAGACCACAGATATATTCCGACGAAAAAAAATTTACCTTATTATTGGATTTTTTTTAAATGTTTCACGATGTTCCGCCAAGTATATCGGAATTGTTTCACTGAGTAGATCAAAAATGTTTCAATCGTTTAAATCGGGCGCGGTTTCACCTTATATAAAAATAATGTTTCAGCAAATAGTGAAAGAATATTTTAGTTTGCTGCAACATTTTGTCTATACATAGTGAAACATTATAAGTACACTAGGTGAAATATTTTTGGTGGAATAAAAAATAAAACGTATTCCCATAATAGAGAGTTTCCATAATATGTGGGTGATTTGTTACAACGGTGCGTTTCATAATATGAAAATTCACTGCAACATTTGATCCGTACATAGTGAAACATCATGAGTACACTAGCTGAAAGATCGTAAAACTACTGGTTGAAACATCAAAAGAGACCATATGCAACATAAAAAAAATATCAATAAAAAAGCAAAAATATTTTTTTGTCGAATATAATCATATGTGGTTTTGTTGTAAAGATTTAATTGTAACGAATTTAGTGGTGCAATCAGATCGTAGATTAGATAAATAATTTATGAGAAAAAAAATCTTTTGAAGAAATAAGAGAAGGGAGCATGTGAGGAGAGAGTCTTTGTATGTAGTGGCAGGCACACGCAGCGTCCAATTTTTCTCCTCTCTCGTCGGGCGCCCGACGCCCAGTATTATTAGTCTTTGCATGCAGTTGACAGACATACGCAACGTCCGATTTTTCTCCCCTCCCGTCGGGCGCCTGACGCCTAGTATTATCAGTATTATCGGTCTTTGCATGCAGTAGCAGGCACATGCAGCGTCTGATTTTTCTCCCCTACTGTTGGGCGCAGTATTATCGTATATGTGTAGTATCTTTTTTGGGCTGAAAATAGTTGGATCTGTTTAATGTACCGTGGGATAAATGCTTGATTTCGTTACTGGTGAGGTTGCAGCTTACCTTTTTATCGTTAATCCCTTGCCTTTTTTAATTAGCATCGGTTTTTTCATGTATCTATATGACGACATGGTAGTTACACCATAATTATATCATACCTGTATTATAATTACATACTAACTACATATCATAATATATATCCTACTTATATTATAATTACATACTAATTAGGTCCTCCGCCTCTCCGTCACTAGCGACCTCACCACCGGCCATGGAGGTGACGACTATCGCCATCTCCGTTTGAGTCAAGGTCACCTCTATCTCTTTCGCGTTCCCATCTCTCCACACAATACCAAACCACTTCTCTGTTGACCACCTCCAGTTTTGTGCATCACAGCCACCGGAACGTGACCACGCCAACGACGCCCTGGAGCACGCACCGGAGCGCCGCCGCTTAGACATCGTTGTCGTCCGGCCATTCTCGTCCATCCCGAAGCAAGCCGCTGTGCCAAGAATCTCGCCTCGACCACCTCTTCAAGACGCCTCAAGAACCCCAGCCGGAAACATCAAGAACACGGAGAACACATCCTTTTCTTCCTCGACGCCGATCCGAACTCGCCTCCACCGTCATCGTCGATTACCACTGCCTCGGTGAGCCATTGTTCGATTCCTCGCGCATACACCATCTCCTTGACCTCACAACCCTCGTGCATGCCTTCCTTTAGCAGCTCGTCGTCCCGTTTGAGCCGTCGCCGTTCACCCGAGGAGGAGCGTCGCCGTCGAACCGTTCCAACTGAAGCCGCTGCTATCCAAGCTTCGGAGATTTCTTCCTACAGCTTGGTGAGCCTCCTGGACCTCTTAGGAAACACATGCATGGATGCATCTAGCAAAATCAAAGCCCCTAGGCAACATGCAGTAACAGCTCATGTATACCTTCCGCTCACCCTCACTATCGGCGCTACTCCGATGTCTCCTAGCCAACAAAACTAGAGGAATGGAATCGTGAGAGCATTCTCTTCATTTTATCTTTTGACCTCATTCCCAATCGAGCCACCAATCGTCGCCGACGAGCTCGCCAAAGCCATGGCCAAGCTCCCAGTCCATCGGGCTGCTGGAGGTTGAAGATGAGGACTTTGTCCTGTAAATGATCAAAAATATAGGGTTCAAACTATAAAACTTCAGTCGTTTACATGTGGACCCACGGACCTAAATGCGTTTCATATAAAGCCCAGGGACCTTTTTGTATATTGGTTCAGCCACCGATCAGTGGACCCATGTGTATAAAAATCTGAAAATGCAAAGGAAAAATAACTAAAACATTAAATGTTTAACAGGAAAACACCCAAACTTGTAAAATCCATATAAAATCAAATGTAACTCATTTTGAGATTATTCCAGTTGCTGTAGATTCTTAAAGTTATGAACTCTATTTTAGAAATATAAAACTTGACACTCACTGTACAAATAATGTCTCTAAAATTTATCTAAGATAGGTCATACATAAAACATGTACAAACTTATAAAATACGTAGAAAATTCATCTCAACTCATTTTGAAACAAAATAAAATTCTACAGATTCATCATTATGCACTCTCTGATTAGGTGAAATAAAAGTAATTACTTACTTTGCATCAAATGCCTCTAAAACTATTATCTCTAGAATGATTAGTTTAGATAAGCTAAACTTTAGAAATTCATGTAGAACCCAATTTAGCTTCAATTTGAGTAAATTTAAGTTCTGTAGGATCATCAAAACATGTATTTCCATGTTATGAAATAAGATTATATACTTACTGTGTAGTAAAAGTCTCTAAATATTCATATAATGATTTGCTAATATAGAGCAGCCTTTAATTTGTAAAACTTGTAGAAAATTCATTTTTAGTCCAAATGAAATGAACAAAGTTTCTATAGAACCAGCAAATAGTTAGCTTCAACATAGTAAAATAAAATTTGGCACCTATTGTAGAGAACATAGATCAAAACCTTAATTTAGTGAAATAAGAATTTAAACACATAGTGTTGTTGAAGTAATACATAAACATGTATAAGTATATATACACTTTAGGTCTAATTAAACCTAAATAAAAACTTGATTGACCAGTGAAGCCATATATAGTTTCATTTCCATCCACTAAAACTTAGAAGAACTTAGCTCATATACCAATTTCTAGGTTAATATAATATATTGCTAGTTTAGATTAGAGCATCTCTAGTTTATAAAATATGAACCATAGTAGTAAAGACCATAAACATATGAACTAAAAATGTTTTAGTTAACCAAATTATTCCTTTTATTCAACTTAAATAGGAAGTAGCATGTTCTGAAACTACAACTTGAGAGTCATGCACATATAAAACACTATATGCCTAAAACACGTTGTAACTTGTAAAATCTATAAGAAAATCATTATAACTCCAAAAATTGTGAAACCAAATGCATTAGTCTTAGAAAACACACCTCTACACCCCTGTGAAGTCTAATATAATAAAAATCACTTTACAAAAGTATTTTATAACACTACATAAGACTATACTACTATAAACCGATAAAACTTCTAAAATTCATAACTCCCTAATGGAATAAGATAAAATAGTAATTCTTTCACCTAAATTCATTTTAGATCAGTACCAACCCACTGTGCATAAATCATGCATTTTAGAGTATTTTAGATTTTTAGCTCTTTCGGTGTTTAATTGCATAACGTGTCCTTTATCTAGATAATTACATAATTGGTGAAGAAGTGGATTAGGTACTAACATTTCTCTGATCAAGGCAAGTTTTCTCCTCCCATCCTTTGAACACATTGAATCCCATGATTTGAGGAATGAAAATATTTGTTTGCAAAGTTGCATGTGAACTTAGACTATGTCGATATTTAAAATTGGGTTAAGGTAGTTATGACCTATTTGCTGCATACCCCACCTTGAATAATTGATCCTCTTACTGTTTGAACCCTTAGAAATGGTTAGAGTACACTCTTTGCGCTCAAATGGGTTTATATATGCTCTATGTGCAACTACTTGCTTAGCCATGCTTAGAAATATGCAAATGCTCATTCCATCTATAATTAAAATATGAATTTTGATACATGAACCCTTGCTGGAATAAAATTAATATGATGGATATTTGCGAACTAAAATGTGTAAAATGTGATTTTATACTTAGACGGCAAGTGGTGTGCATATGGTGTTAGTTGCATACCGATAGGGGGAGTGTTTGCCCAAGTCCATAAGGACCGAACTTGTGTCACCCATTTAAAGTTATTCGTACATCCACATGTGCTAGTATGGGATTTAGGACTAGCCTTCCATTCTGGTAGGCCGGTGTGTATGAGTTCGTGTAATTCAGAGGAGCTTCCTATTTACCCCGATGTGGTAGTTTAGGTGACTAAGCGTGTCCAATACAACGGTATTGTGCCATGTGGTGGGTTCCCGTCGTGTCCGCCACCACGGCGTTAAGTTTAAGGCATAGGCCCGCCACTTAACGGTTCTAGGTATATTCCAAGTATGTCTAGGATGGAGAAACACATATTGTGCTGGTACAAGGCTAGGCTCTAAGTAGTGTAAAGTCTTCGTTATGACCTCTAGATCACATTCAACATGAAGAGTGTGGTGGAGTCTTGCAAACTCAAAACAAACTAGAGAGTTCATATCATGTGGGTAAAGCTGTACAAACTCTGTAGAGTTCTTTAAAACTAATCGATTAGCCGTGCTCACGGTCATGAGCGCTTTGGTGATGTGTCATGAATATAGACTTTATGTTTTAAAATGTGATCATATGTGACATTGGTTTGAAATTGATAAATGTGTTGAGTTGTGTGTGTGAGGTGATATATTATGACTTGTTGTCAAAGGATGACAACAAGAGATTGATTATGATGGAATTATGATGAACTTATTGAAACTTAAAATTTGTTTTGTTAATTGAAGTATCAACTCCTTTACAAAAGAATTGCGAAACAAAACTTGCTTTATGCTAAAATTGAACTACATATTGCCTTCCTTTGAATATATGCCTTACATGTAGTATGGTAGGATTGACTTGTGCTTGCTAGTACATTAACTTGTTTAATGTCCTAACTCTTGCTGTTGATATAACCTTTTGTTTGTAGGTTTAGTCTTAGTCTTTAAGTGATGCGGGTTCCGATTGCTTCTTCTAGGATGAGAACTTAATGGGGTAAACCCCTAGTCGGTGTGCTTGTGATTGGGTAGTCAAGCTTCCGTTGTTCTCTAAATAAGTCTATTTGGCCGGTCGGCCTATGTAATTATTATGTTGTTGTAAGTCTTAAGTTTCTTTCATGTTAGTTGTGTTTACTATGTATAATCATGCTTAAGATGAAAGTGTGGATCTAGTGCCCATCCGGGGAACTAGATTCATATGAGTATGAGTTAGGAATATTTGAGAGGTTGTAGATCTTTAGCCATTTTTGTCAAGTCTCCTGAATGTGTAACACATCTGGTCACCGCCTTCGAGTGGTTGACGGGCACATCTCAGATTGAAGTTGACTAGCAGGCTAAGGGCCCAGCAATGTCTCCAATATTCCTCTCTCGAGGCGTCGGATGTTTCATTATGCTTGTTTGATGACTTGAATTATTCACTTCATCTCTCAAATATAATAATTTTGGGATTTACATATGTAATTTTTGGGACTTGTATTGTACATAAACTAATTGCATAATATGTAATTTATGTACTTACAATGTAAATACATGCTAACTATTTTTTAGTGAAAAATATAGCGCCATAAATATAGCTTCGCAATATGCAAAGTGAGGATCATAATCCTATGGCACGAACAAACATTATTATAAAAAAAATCACATTATTATGGCATGAAACTGTTTCGCCCGTGATTTATCTTTTCTTTCCTTTTTTTCTGAATTTGGTTTAGAATTATTCAAATTTGTTTAAACTTAAAAAATTCGCTACACCCTATATATGTGGCAAACGAAATTGAAAACCATTCGTGTTTTAAAGTAAATTTCATAGAAATACTAGTGATTTGTAAATTTTTAAACCATAATATTTAGAGTCATATGGTAACAGCCAGAGGGATACCTCAACTCAATCACGTCTCTCCGTGAGGAGTGACTACAATCACGTTAGCCTAGGGATGGGGCCAACCCGCAAATTTGTTTATAGGTCAATAAGTAATAATCAGTAGATTCCAGAATAATTAACTATTTGCCACTCTTACGAGTGGTGATAAATTATTTATCACTGGACCCATATGTCATAGACAAATGAGAGCCCATATGTCATAGACAATGAGTGGCAAATAATTAATTACCACATCTTAAAAGTGGCATTGAGTTAAATGTTCCGCGGATTCCCGCATTGTGGTCCGGCTTACCGCATCTAGTAATGCAAGTGGATCGATATATAAATCCACTTACACGGTAAATTAATAGACAATCCGTAGGTTCCCTGCTAATTTTATCTATAATCTACTCCCTCCGTCCCAAAATAAATACAGTTTTAGCACGGTTCATGTTCAATGTTTGACCGTTTGTTTTATTTGAAAAAAAGATTATGATTAGTATTTTTATTGTTATTAGATGATAAAACATGAATAGTATTTTATGTGTGACTAATTTTTTTTAATATTTTTCATAAGTTTTTCAAGACGGATGGTCCAAGCGCTAAACACGGATATCTATAGCTGTACTTATTTTGGGACGGAGGCAGTAGTTGGCTGGTATTTGTCCTCGCCTGCGTCGAACAGAGGAATGTGAGACCGACGACAACTCAGACGAGGGAGCAAACAGAGGCAGGGCGGCTCACGCGAGCGACACGATGAGTACGTGTACGTCGCAAACAAACCGCCTCGTAATGTATTCCTAGACAAGCACACGTCCAAATACACCGCGCGAAACCCCGTACGGTACGATACACGTACGCCCTCCATCGCGCGCGATCCGCCGCGGCGTCACCAAGCCATATCCGCCGCCGCCGATCTCCATGGGCGGCTCGCACGCACCGTCGGCGCAGATCCCGTTCCCGGACCACATCGTCCACGAGGCCGGCACCGGGTTCGCGCTCGGCTCACCGTTCCACTTCTTCAAGGGGCTCCGCGGCTCGCCGCGCGGCCACCGCCGCCCGGGCCGTCCGCGCGGGGGCGCCCCGCGCCGCCGGCAGCTTCGCCGCCTTCTTCGCCGCCTTCTGCGTCCCCGAGTGCGGCATGGCCTACGCGCGCGGCGGGAAGGAGGAATCGTGGAACTTCGTCTTCGCCGGCGCCGCCACGAGCGGCTTCCTTCGCCTGCGCCAGGGAGCGGTCACCGCCGGCCGCGACGCGCTCTGGAGCGCCGCCTTCTTCGCGCTCGCGGAGGGCGCCTCCCTCGCGATCCACCGCGCCCTAGACGACCTCCCGCCGGCGGACGGTCGTCGCGGCCTCGCCGCGCGCGCACCGGTGGGCCGTCCACGCCGCCTCCCCGCCTCCCCGGGATTCCCGGGTCAGCTCATCGTGGTTAAGGAGGTCGCTGTCGCCGACAACGAAGACGACTCCGGCTTTTCCGACGGCTTCTTCGCTGAAGAGCGTCAGTGAGGACACCGACATCGACAGCGGCGTCGCCGGAGTTGTTAATTTTACATCTTTTTAGCTTCGTGAGGTGAATCTATTAGGATTTGATTTGTGTTACATTACACGGAAACTAGAATTCGACTAAATTAAGTGCAAATTCAATCCAATCCAAATCTGTTTCGAATTCAAAGTCAAGTTCCTTCTTCAAGTACTCGCCGATCACGGTGTTCGATCTCTGTACTACTACTGTACCAATCTTGTAGCGCAAGCCAAGCACAGCTCAGCCTCCTCCGTGCTCCGATCATGGCGTCGCCGTCCCCGCCGCGACCGGACGAGCGCGACACGGACTTGCCGTTGCCGAGCCCTCCGCGGAAGCCGTACCCGGGCTTCATACTCGACGACGCGGGCGGCGGCTTCCTGATCGGCGGCGGGGTCGGCTCCGCCTACCACGCCGCCAGGGGCCTCCTCGGCTCGTCGAGCGGCCACCGCCTCGCCGGCGCGGCGCGCGCCGTCCGCGCCAACGCGCCCCGCATCAGCGCCACGTGGGCCGCGCGCTGCGGCCTCTACGGCGCCTTCAAGTGCGCCCTGTCCCTGCCGCGCGCGACGGACGGCGACCCCGTGGTCTCCGTGCTCGCCGCGGGCGCCGCGGGGGCCGCGCACTGCCTGCGCCGGGGGCCCCTCGCCGTCGGCCGCGGCGCGCTCGTCGGCGCCGCGTCCATGGCCGTCATCGAGAGGGCCGACGCCGCGCTGGACAACTTGCGCTCCTGGGTCCACTACCACAGGCGGCTTGTCCCCGAGGAGGACATCGATGGCGGCGGCGGCAGCGACCCCAAACCCGACGACGAGCCGCCGATTGGGTTCCTGGGGGTGCCGCCGAAGCCCGTCGTGGTGGAGGAGGTGCCTGCCGGATGAATACCCCAAACAAGTCTCTTCGTTTATTTGTGTAAAGAGTAAATAAATATCATTGAATATGCTCAATGTAACCAAATAAGATTGACTTTATTAATACACTTCTATACAATATTTAAAACATGATGCAATCCACGGGCTTTATTTGTGTAAAAATTAAAGAGTAAATAAATATCATTGAATGTGTTGCATGTAACCAAATAAGATTAAATTTAAATCATGATACAATCCACGGGATAAAAAAGCGACATAGCATTTTGGGTCTCTGCATTTTTTTTCTCAGGTGTTGATTAAATTGGGATAGAGAGAGTGTTTTATATGTTAAGTTAGGCACCTATTTAAATTAGTTTCTATCTAGATTATAAGAATCTATAGCTACATAGTCCATAAAATCAATTAGAAGTTAGTAGCTAGAAAACTTAGCTTTTTCATATTTTTATCATCTAGCAACTAATCAGCTGCTTCTCAAAATTAAAGCTTTTTAAACTCGCATACAGGCTATTTTATTTAACATAAGTTAATTTTGTACTATTAAGAATGTCGTAAGGTCTTTTGATATGAAAATGATATAGTCAAGTTCTACTAAACAAAAGGTCGTGCCATGGGCGGATCTAGCATGGGGACGGCGGAGTCTTGAGCCCTCATTACTGGCACGAGTACTATGGGAGCCCCCACAAAACCCCCACTAAAATTTTTTGCTATATGCAAATGGAAAGGGGATGTAGCTTTATCTAGTTTATTCAGACCCCCTGCTATCTCTTCCTAGATCCGCCACTGGGCCGTGCATCTTGTATAATTAACTTCTCTAAATGTCGTGAGATCGTTGGAGAATTAGGTGTGCCACATCATCGGTTATTTTTGCAAAAAGGCCCCCACACTTTGTGTTAATTGTGCACCGGTTCCCGCCGCTATCGTCCGTTCGATCGCGTGCTAGTTATGAGTAAATATTACGAGATCCCTATGTTTTGGGACTACTTTCACGTAATAACAGGTTTTGAGATTTTTCTTTTTTACATAACACACAATTGAGGCTACTTGTATGTATCACTTAACCGGGAACATATTCTGTCGACGGGGGATACCCGTAGACCGGATATAAAGGGTATTAGGGTACGCTGGTACGAGGATCTACGTAATACGACATCAAGCAAACAAGAAACAAGGATTATACTAGTTCAGGCCCCTTGATAGGTAATAGCCCTAATTCAGTTGATATGGAATTATATGGTGGAAACCATAGATTATAAAGGGAATAACAAAACTCGATGATACCGACGAGACCGTAGTCGAGTTGGTCCGACTAGATCACCCGGCGACTTGGCTCCTGTGGGCTTCGACTTCGTAGGCTGTGGTGGTTGTGTTGGCAGTGAGATTCAATGCCTTAGGTCCTCCCGGGGGTCCCTTTTATACTGCGGGTCAGTTGATCTCCAAGTAGAACTCGGAGATATCAGACCCCACACGATACAGTGACGACCCAGTTCAGTCCGAGTAGGACTCCTTCCATCCGTAGACTCCGTTTCTATTACGTGATGAATTTCCTTAACGTGTACAGGAAACATCCGTATACGCGCAGGTATACCGTATCAGTATACGGCATATATCCAGAGGTAGAGGGTATACCTTATCCGTAACGCTGACATAGAAAATATTCTATGCACACAAACATCCCGCGCACACTCCATGCACACCAACTAGCAAATGTCACGAAAACTTCTAGAAAAAAATGGACATTTACTCCTAATTGTGCTACACATATCTGAAAAGTCTCATATTCTAATTTATTATATTTTAGCCGTAGCGAAAAGGTGAAAAATCTGACAGTTTAAAGGGTAAAAATATGTCAGAATTTTGTCTTTTTTGTTACAGCTAAAATATAATGAATTTGAAGATAAGATTTCACACATAGGTGTAATACTATTGGAAGTATGTGTCCAATTTTTCCTAGAACTTTCTATGATATTAGCTAGTTGGTG